AAAGAATCTGATTCAAGTCATCTTTGAAGCGGTTGAGTCTTAGCGTACCAAAGTTATTCAAGTTTTTCTCCTCTTCTTACTAGTTAAAAATACTTTATATTAAATCAAGCGAAACAATAAAACCATCAGTTTGAGGTCCCTTGCAGTCACATGTTGATGAAGCCGTGCATGAGCAGACACTGGACATCCCCTGGTCCCTCTCGAGTCCTTTTCTTCACCTAAACATCCAGCGACAGATTGTTTAAACATTCCTTTCCTAAAACCATCCATCAGCCAGAGAGCAGCTCCATCCCACATGACTCCTAAACCTTCCTGCAGACTTTTTTTCCTCCCTGACAAAACTTAAAACATTCATTCATCATGTCTTGTGACCCCCTTTTTACAGTGTGCCAGAGAGTGCCGCACCCTTGTACCCGCCTGTACTCTGAGACCAAGAGTGTGCCCGTCTGGGAGGGCGGAGTCTGCCACTACCTGTAAGTTTTTATCTAGTGCCCGACCAATATGAGATTCACCGATATACCGATATCCATGTTGGGGAGAAAAACATCCAATACCGATATATTGGCATATCTTTCTTTCGATTTATGTTGGATCTGTAGAGATAGAAAGATATAGACACACACATTTATTGCATTAATCCCTCAAAAGCAGTTATCAAACACTTGTGGAAAAGATAATGAAGACAAGATGGTCACCCAACTTGAAAGTAACTGCACATGTATGTGCATCACCGTCTGACACTCTGGAGTGATGATGCTTGAAGTAATCCATAAAGCACCCTCTGCTGGTGACAGCCAAAAAGAGAACTGCTAGTTTAATATAATGAAACTCAAATGAAATTCTATTTGACTTGTAAATAAATCTGGTAATATCTGCGCTAAAGTAAGCTGATACTGAAAGTCACTGGATCTGCTAATATTGGCTGATATTATCGGCCGGCCGATTAATCGGTCGAGCTATAGTTTTATCAGGCATGGAACTCCTGCTTCTAGCCTTTCCATACATTATACTCATCCTAAACATGTGTATGATGAATAACCTGATCAAATCCATGAGTTTGTTTTGTGCTCTGCAGGTACAAAAGGACGTATAAAGTACAGCAGGATGTTTGTTATCGAGAGATTTGTGAAACGGTGCTTCCCCAAAGAAATCAGAGTGAGTTTAGAAAAATAAAAATCTGAACAGTTTTGAAGAGTAAAATGTCACCAGTAAAATGTCACAAGTAAAATGTCACAAGTAAAATGCAATTCTTTTGACGTGCTGATATTTGCTTTCTCAACAGAGAGAAGAACAAACAGACAACAGTAAAGTTTTTGTCTTTTATCCATAAAATCATATTTTTGTTGCGGTGAAATTCATGTGTGATCATCCACTGATACTGCAGAGGATCACATGCTTTCTACTGATAATAAATGTTTTCCTCTTTTTCTAGAGCACTTGGATGAAAGGACTGTCATCACTGTCATGTGAAAATACTAACTTCAATTTTTGGTGTTTATAATCTACTTGAAGTGACTGATTATGGCGATGTTTGTGCTGTCAGAGCCCACTGTAACATTTTAGAAACATCGGAAAATAAGGTTGTATTTGTTCATTCCTGAGAGCTGTGTGTGTGTGTGTGTGTGTGTGTGTGTGTGTGTGTGTGTGTGTGTGTGTGTGTGTGTGTGTGTGTGTGTGTGTGTGTGTGTGTGTGTGTGTGTGTGGCTGCGTGCTTCATGAGAGTACTTAAATCAATCAAATGAAAAGTGTCCCGAATCGTTGATCATTTGTGATGTTTGATGACTGATATACCTCAGATACATGTCCGTGCTGACACATTAGGAGAGGTTTCTTTTTTGTGATTCAACTGCAGGTTTGTCCCTCAGGGAAATAACTGTAGAGCTTTTCTTATACCAGCCCCCATGATTTACTGATAGAGACGATGGGAAATGTTTGTTTTCTCCACACCACCTAAATTCATCTCTTCCTCTGACAATGGCGCACAGTGTTGTCTGAGTATAAATATCTTTCTCTGTCTTAGCAGGCTTCACTGCAGCTCGCTCCTCTGTAAATAGTGTTTATAGGCCATTTTGTAGGTGAATATTTTAATAATAAAAATGTTAAAATGTTTCCTGTTTCTTGGGTCTTTTTGAGTTGATATTGACATCATTGAAAATATGAGAAAGGCCTTACTGTAGTCACAAGTTTTTTTTTACATACATGCAACACAGAAACCACTTCAATGGTCACCACTTTAAGTGATTAATTGACATAGGACTTTGGTCTGTTTGAATATACAATAGCTAAATATAGAGAAAATCTTGAAGTAAGGGGACATTATTATTTTAACAAACCCTAATAAATAATATGAATGGAAACTGTGTGATAGAGAGGTGTAGCATTAGAAAGAAAAAGCTCTCACTTTATCACAATTAAGGTATATTAGGTCATGTATTTTCACACAAAAAGAGAACAGAGTGGGCAGGATGGAGCTCTTGACTTTCAGTGATCATATTGATCCAACCAAGTGACTGTCATTGAATTTCTCAAAAATCCTGAGATCCCAGCTCTACATGTCATAAATTGCTAACAAGCACAGTCTACTGAGAAAGTCAAACAAATTACTTTTACAAATCTTCATAAGCATCACCAGACTGACTTTACAACTCTGCTATACTCAGGATTCAAATTCACTATGAAACAAAGATCTATGGGGGAAAACAAATACATATAGACTTTGTGAAAAAGCAGAAGGGGGTAATTGAATGGTTTGAAAATGTTATGCAAAATAACCTAGAAGTAGTTGATGTTATTCTCATCCTGGTGCAGCCCAGTGTTTTTCAAAGTGGAGTGTGGAAAATCCACTGACAACCCCATTATTGACGATATCATTTTAATATATCTCTTTTTTTCGGGTTATTAATAACTGAATAACACAAATCTGTGTTCTTTGTCTACGCCAATATTTAAATTGCAAATAAAATAACACACAACACTCTAGCCAATCAGAATCGAGCAGCCACTGAGTAACACTGATCAGAAAGTGGAAGCGACAAAGGATGTTTAAAACTGAAGGAGGACACACTAAATGTAATTAAAGAATATAAAAACAGAATAATGCTCGTATATATTATATGTATGTTTAAGGTTACTTTAGTTTGATTATTGATATGACAGAAATAATATGAGAATCAAGATTTCTAATTTCTAATTTAAAAAAATGAAATACTGTATATTTACAAGTTGTTGGTTTAATTTTTGCCATTTGCCATTGTACTGAACCAAGAATTTGGGAAATTTGGCATGAAAGGGATCTCTGCCAGAGGCTAACACTATATGGGGTCCTTGGCATAGCACAGTTAGGGAACCCCTGGTATAGCCTCTCCTACATGTGAAAAATAGTTTTGCATAAGGAATTATGAATCATCAGCAAAAACAGTGAATTCATGCTTTCAACATGCTGTTGCAATCTAGGGATTATTGTTTGTGTGGTGATAAACTGTTTATTTCTGTTGTGAAAAAGACCAAATTAAACCCTGGGTAATGAGCAGGGTAGTTGCCCTTTAACTCCAACTCATTACTTCACTTAACGCCAATGATTGACGACCACTGACCTGACCCATGAAACCAACACAAACTAAACGCACACAGTGACAGAGAGTAGGCCTTCCTTTAGTTTTAAAGCAAATATTTTGTCCTGCCTGGGCACTGATAAGCTCTACTACGTCGGTATGATTTAACAGAGAGTGCAGTTTGCACGTTAACAATGACTACCCCATTGAACACTGCAGTGCGGAGCTTCATTTGTATCCCACTTGCTCCCCAGATTTGCGGTTTTTATGCTGCCTTCACTGAACCTGGGAATGTCTCGTGTTGTAGGTACTGTTCCTGCTGTCATCTGCAGTGCTTACTTTGGAAGTGCACTGGGAATCTGGTGAGGCTCATCAGAATTTATATTGACAGAAATGTTATGTCATAATCCATATACTCGTACTGCATTAAAACAAATGTGTATTATTTCAGTACGAGACTGTGAAATTCTTTGCATAATGATAGGCTATATGCTGCTCTAATATTATTCAATTTGAATCTATAAAGAAAAAACAACTGACTAACTAAACAAAATAATAAAATGAACCTATTGCGAAAATCTAACATTGAGAGGATTGTAATTGAGTATTTCAGCAGGGCCTTTGTATATAGTTCATTTGATATGATTTGTGAAGGAAGATTTGTGTTTCTGATTTTTTTTTTTCTTTATGTAGGCCTATCTGTTGTGTCTTGATGCCGGCTGTAGATCTAACTTCCTCCAGAAGAATAAATGAGTTGAAGTTAAAAAATAAACAAAAAATGAATGAATGAATGGATAAATAAATTAACTTACAAATGTACAGTAGGCTGTATAATTCAAATAGAGTATGGCACTATTAATGGTGTACATTAATTGGTCACTAAGTTAGAACTTAAGTGTAAAAAATCATATTAACAATAAGTAAATTAGATAATTATAGACATAGTCACAAATATTTTGGTCTTGGTCAGTGGTGTAGTGCAGGGTATACGCAGGCATACAGAGTATTCCCCTTTATTTTTCAGTCTCCATAGAGTATACCCACTTCTTAATCTCCTCTGATTAACACCATTGATTTATTGACAATATTCAGTAGTTTGCTGCAATTATTTCCTAGGATGGTGAAGGGATAACCCTCCCTACTCTGTTTCTAATTGACTCGTACTAACTGAATGTGCATGAGTATAGTCTCACATCACTGTTTATAATAAAGGTCGTTTTTCCTCTGCTGGATGGGTCACCTTAAAAAACATTTGGGGGGGAAATTAAGAGTACGCCCACTTCTTCAGCCACCACTACACCACTGGTCTTGGTGTGAGATACAATTAATCTGGTTGTATCCTTTTTTTTCGTTCGTAATGGTGTGTCTATTTTTCCGATAGCACCTGAAGGCAGCATTCCAGTCCTGAAGTCAGAGCAGTGAGCCCCCCCCCCCCCCTGAAAACTGAGATAGTGAGGAAAAAGCAACGGGAGGACAGACCATGGAGGGAGGGAGCTGGATGTATTAGCCAGTTTGCTACTTTGGGACACTTTTCTTTCCTCTTCGCCTTCATTTAAAGACGCGGCTGTAACGCGGCGACATGGTGGCGGTGTGTGATTTAAATACCGGGAAAACGTCGTAAATCTCACGATCGCTCCAATGTCCAACATCTGACGGTTAACAGTTAGCACGACCCGACGAAAGTTAGCCTGCTCCGGCTAACTTAGCCTTTCTCGGCTGGCGAGAAAAGACATAAAAAAAACCCAAACAAAGCTAGTCGAGAAGGAGTTAAGGCTAAAGTTACTCGTAATGTTGCCACTCGGGATTAACTTTAGATACGGATGAGAACGAATTCGCCCCATAGGGAACAACGAGGAGAACAACCAGACGACCACTGCTATGTTGGGGCTGATTCCCGGCTCTGGCAGCCCGCCTGAGTCCCGAGGTTGGCCACACTCGGTGCTGTGGAGGCTCGGGGGCTTCTTCTTCCTGCTGCTGCTGGAGGGTGCAGGTTGTCTGGCCAGCCCGAGCAGTCCTTCAGGCGTCAACAACAACAATAACCAGCCCAGTGTCAACATATACATGAGTGTGGAGGAGGTGAAGAAGCTTTTAGGTAAGAAGGCCTGGACGTAAAGACAGCTGCTGTCCTCAAACTTCATCTGTCTGTCTTAGTTATCTGATGTGATAAACCTGTGCCAGTAAACCACTCTCATATTTATTTATTTTATTTCAAACTGAACTAAACTTTTCTAAAGTTTTACCACTTGTTCCGACTTCGTCCAAGCGGCAGCCATACTGCTTCAAACTAGAAAAGGTCAATTATGACAAGTGTTGTTGACCAGGGAACTAACATGGGAATTAAACTACATTTTGCATTTCCGATAGTTTAAGAGTTAAACTGGAGAAGTTCAACAACTTTTATTATTGCCATATCGTACAAAACACACACATGACAACACAGAATATACAAACCAGGCAAATACCCCAAAAATAGCACAACAATAAAATGCATTTACAGCAAAAATACTGAATGACCTCCTTGTAGTTTTGTTAATTTGAAGAAAGCCTGGCTGGTATTTACTTGTTGAATACAGAGTGAGGTTGTATGTGTACTCTTTTGATAACATTTGACTACAGTTTTGAATCTGGATTGTAAGACTGGACTTGAATCAATCAGGGGACAATTTGTCACATGTAGGCTATTCATGTTTATTGAAGAAAATAATCAGAGAAGTTTTGTCATGCTATTTTTGACCTGTTCCACTTCATCAGAGTTCCCCACCTTGTCTGTAGTGTTTTGAAGGCAGGTGTCTGATTATTGGACGTTGTACAATATATAATAGAAAGTCAGGAACCAAAATATATCAATATTATCCACATAGTTTGTGCAGGAATTTCCAAAACCAAGACAAAAGTGCAAAAGATCACAGCATCAAATGCAGAGGGAGTGTCAAAGGGCCGGATAATGATTGTTAATAAAACATATAAGACAGACGTAGAGGCTTTGAGTCAGTGTTATATCAATATACTTCACTAACAAATGACCTGTCCATTTAAGATTTTATTTTTTATCTTAAGCGTCTTGTGTACAACACTGTTTTATAGAGACAACTGATTGAAGCTTGAAGCAGCCTCACAGCTGTGTTGTGTTTCCACCTCTGGGTGGTATGCTGATGTGTCACCAGGAATAGTGGAAAGGAGGAAGTGACTAAACCATACATTCAAATAAAAACAGTATGGGATTTTTGTGGTCAAGTGTCAGCGTTTGGTTACATGAAGTGGACTACAGGGGGGCGAGTTTGGTCCACTTTGTTGTCAGTATTGTTGGGAGTTAATTTTACAGCCTCAGAAGATGCAGAGAATGAGTATGATCTGGTCCATGTTTGGTATTTGGATCCAACATGGCCATATGAAGCCATCATTTAACCATACAAAGATTTACTCTGTAGTATTGCATTTTTAAAAAGTGTCTATGAAACGCTTGCTGTTTTCATAAACGTCCTTCTTGTGTTGCTTGTCACTAGTGTGTTTTGTGTATTTATACTGTGTATTTATTTACACGTCACCTCGTCACCAGTTCCGTTCAACTGAATTGGTCACAGAAGGGCAATTCATTTGCTGCCTACCTAGTCCATACTGACAAATCCAAAACTGAAAGACAAGCTAATGTATTAAAGAGATTAGATTGACATGCCAAAGTCAATACAAGAAAACTGATTTTAGATGTAATAAAGGACTTGGAGTAATCACATTCTGTCTGTGTACAGAATATTTCCATCTTCTCGTTTCTCTTTCTTTCTTCAGCTTCATGTTTTGTGTATTTTTGTGTAAGTACAGTGAGAGCTTTCTAAAACAGGAGTCATGTTCTCTGCATGTGTACACAAACAGTGTTTGGCAATCAAGCTGACTCTGATCCACTCTGAACGTGTGAGACCTGAGAAAGAGACAGATTTTCAGCTTTTTTTTATCCCACAATTCAGCTGTGAACCGACTATTATCTTTGTTTCTTGCTGCCAAGCTCTAGCAAGTCTATAGATTGGTCTTAAGTTGTTAATTTAGGGTTTACTGAAGATGTCTGGAGGCTGTAGTTTGAAACCAGTCATTTGCCATTTGAGTGCCACTGTACAGCTTAATGAGCGGGTAGAAGTGTTAGTGCGTAATGTCTTTGTGGAGGGAGGAAGCTGAGACTGCAGCTTCTCAAATTGACTAATGGGCCGCTGTAAATACACGTATCCTCATGCTATCATTGGACTCAGCGTTTTTGCATCAGATGGGGTTCAGTACGACTCAGCAGTTTAGTTTCTGTTGTCCTTTTGTCGAGGAGTCAGGTGTGTGCAGGTTTTTATCAGGGCGTTCTCTCTCTCTGATGTATTCTTCCATCACTATGTTTAGGTTTATTTTTATGGTTGAGCTCAATCATTAACAAGATGGTGTGATGCTTTAAAATATGTTATCCGGTTTACTGGATAATTTTGGCCTTTGGGATTTTGACAAATGCATCAAAGTATAAGTCAATGTACCGTTTAAATAAAAAACGTTCAGCCCTTTTTCACCACTCTATAATTTCCTTGGTGTTGGACCGTAGGCTGACTCTGTCCATTTTGGTTCCTCTTCTTCTCCATCACGCTATAGTTAATCCTCTGTTGCCAGACCAGGGCCTCTTTTGTGGTTTTACTGAGACCTTGTCTGGTTGTTTGGAGAAATCTCTTAATTTTCGACAACTTAGTGTGCAAACCAAAAATATTTTGTGGACAGAAACTTCCATGATGTAGTGGCAACTGTAGGGGAGGAAAACGCTGCTGCATGGAGGTGAAAGTGGCACCAGTTGAGGGATAGCTTACTTGACTATGTGCCGATGCAGATCCATTTTCTTACCCAAGCAAGACCATTGATACAACCTCCAACTCATCAGTTATCTTAATAATGTGTTAAAATACAGTTTATATGTACATGTCTATGAGTTGAAAACAAACCAAGGGGGGCAAACGCATCAAGATGAATGACCTGATTTCAGCTCTCAGGGTTTTTGGTTTTAAAACTTGTTCCTTGAGTTAGTGCTCTGTTTTTCAGGCATTTATTGGTTCATAAGCTGCTACCAGCCCTGTATGCACACATGTTTTACATACATACATGCAGATGACTTCCTGTTTACAAAAAAAAGTCATGTAATCGCCTAAAAATGTTCCCTTAACCACAATGGGCTTGTGTCTCTTAACAATGTTGGGAGTTTCCAGAGAATCTTATATTTGACATAGGAGTATCCGGTCAACCAGTTCTGGCTATCCAAGCTTTACGCTAAAGAATGCAACAGTATATTTGAGGATGTTTATATTTGTGTAGTGTGTTTTCTTTATTTTTAATTAGGGAAAGTGTGTTTTTTCCGAGCCTGTAGTTCAGACCATACACATTTTTAGATTTTAACATGGCATATAGACCTCTGAGGATCAAACAAAAGGGCTGACAGGACTCCATTATGCTATTCTCAGATTTGACTTGTCATGGCACGTGATGCACAGGTGAAATGAATAACATTAATGATGGCTCTATTCCACGTTACTGTCCATTGAGCCAGCATTTACATGGTGACTTGTGCATGGGATGCATTTAGACTTTTCAGAGTATTGGAAAATATGGATACATGAATGAAGGATGGCTGTACTTGCTTTAATTGAAGTTTACTAGTATTGTGAAGGCTCACTTCTTGACTTCCTTGAGTAGAAGAGCTTACTTTTGCTGACATCAGGTAGGACTTAATCATTGTTCATGTTGAAATGAAAATGTTTTTTAGATGTATAGAGACATACACCCCCTGTGGATGTAGAATTTTATAGAGCCCTGTACTAAACTAGTACCTGTCTGTCAGTACTATAATATTTGAAAAGGTTCCTAGAGTTACAGCTATTCACCCTCACCTGACTGCCTCCCTAAGAGTGAGTGGTGGTTAAGTAGTAGAGCGTGGTATATTTCCATTAATTATGTTCACAATACAGCCATACATTTGTATTAGTGAACTTAGCACAGAGACATTTTTGTACGAGGAAAGAGTGCCAAAATCAACTCCTGTAGTCTTGCTGGGGTCGTACTGCTCTCTGAACATATGGAGTCTCCATTCAGAATTCATTTTGATAACTTTAACCAACAACCCGACTCTCAAAGGGCTGCTAGGGAACAGGAAAGCGTCATGTCTGAATTGAAATGGGATTTGCAATTGCTCAGTGTATTTGTCTATGGTTGAACTACAGGTGGCATCCCTGATTGTTTTTGCATACGACTAACATGTAGTGAACTGTCTCATTCCCGCCTCCTGTCAGCTCCTGTATCAGCTATGTCCCAAAACTCTCGTAATGGGTTTGAATTGTGCTGGCAAAAGTTGTTCAGTAATGACCCGTTTTCCTCCAAAAGGAAGGCATTCACATAATTCATGTAAACTTGATTTCAGCAGAGCCTTTAACATCTTTTAGGCGTTTCTCTGTCCTGAGCCATGTCTCTGCTCAGCTCACATGTTCCTACAGAGGGCATGTTTTTGTCTTTGACACATGACTGACAAATATCCTTTATGGTTTGTCTCTGACACATGTCCTGCACATCCGGCACATATCCAGCGGCAGGATATGCATTTTGGCTGAGCCTCTTACGTGAAGAAATTGCAGCCGTTTCCTATTATTTTACCATATATTCTATTAGCTTCTTTTAAAGATATTTCTCTGAAACATTTATGATACAGAGGCAGCTTTTGTTCACCACGCGGACTCTTAGAGTGCAATAATACTATGTTTGGTATAGATTGATTCATCAATTCTTCTTAACAATTCTTTTTTGATACAGTTTATTTGTTGGTGACCTGGATCTTAAAATGTTTTTAAAGCTATAAAATCAGACAATGACTCTATCAGCAGAAGCAATGTCAGTCATGGTGGATGAGATTGATGAAGGTAAGATGATCATACATCCTCAAAGTTTTCTGACGTTCACCTGGGTGAAAGCTGAGTCCCTGCCCTACCCTTATTGCCCCCTCTGTCCCTTCAACAGAGCCCCCCCTGTCCTGCTGCTATACAAAGTAACAGGACATGTTTGCAAGTGCACCAGTTTATCAAGCAGGGAAGAATCCACAAT